GATTATAACCCAGCGCCTTTTAACTGCAGAAGAAAAAAATTCACCTAAAACCCCTTCAACGTTCTAATAAATATATTTGTGCAAATTTTATATGAAATGCATTAATCTCACCTTAACATGAGCGGCGCAAGTCCCATTTTCCTTTGGCGTCATAAATATACTCTATTTTTGAAGGAGTACCGTATAGCACTAATTCAAACTAATTACTATCTAATTAAACTTGTACATTAGTGCGAACCATTTGGAAACAACATACTGCATGGTATTCGGAAATAATGCTATAAATATTTCAGTTAATTTAAAATTGTAAATCTCGGGAATGCCATATTTGGTTAGGTTGAATCACTTCGATCAAATGATCTTGTGGATATGAACGACCCAAAAAATTACATTTTTAATAGATCTGCGATTGCTTTTTGATAGGCCTAAAATCGAAGTGGCATTCTTGATTCATCATGTTATCATAAAATTTATAAATTCTCAAAAGTTTGAGCAAAGATATCTCAATGACAACCAACAAATTTTTTTTTTTATTTGATTTTTCAATTTTGTGAAATCAAATAAAAAAAAAAACCCCATCAAATTTAGATGGGTGGTCACTGAAATATCTTTGCATAAAAGTTTTACATTTTCGCGTGATATACGTTGTTAAGATGGTGATAATGATCATGCAAAGTTAATTTTCGGTTTACATTACCCGCAGACCTATTTTTTTTCAATTTTGCTATTTATTTTTTCTGCCATTTTATCTGGTATCCCGATAATTATTTATTATGAGAGCGCATTCAATATCTGCTAATATATGTAAATTCTTAAATGTTTATCCATAATAATGTGTTTAAGGCAGACTTTTAAACCTTAATAAAGAGGAAGGCAACAAGATGTCTCGTCTCGAAGCCTTTCATTAACAACCCACATGCTTTATATATATATTTTTTTACCTGTTAACCATCAGGCTAGACTATGCTTATGCCGTCACTCTCCCAACCTATATAGCAGCAGAGTTTTAATGTTTTCAAAACTTTGAGTGAAAGTATCTTAGCAATCAACTAGCCAAATTTATCGATTTTTTTTTTTTTATAGATTCTACAGATATGTAGAAATAAAAAAAATAAAATTAAAAATTTATCGAATATAATGTGTAATGCTATGATCTTTGCTCAAAGTTTATAAAAATTTGGCGCAGCTATTGAATCAAGCTATTTTAGCAATCATTTAGCCTAAGTCGATTAATTTTTTTTTATTTTGATTCTAAAGATCTGCAGAAACAAAAAAAAAAAAGGTTAATCGAATTTGAATAATAGTTGACAAGATATCTTCGCTCAAATTTTATAAAAATTCGACTGCGGCTATTATTTTGATAGCCGTTTTAATGCTTTTAAAGTGAGCGAAGATTTCTTGACAACCATTCCATTCAAATTCAATAAAAAAGTTTTTTTTCTATTTGATATTACAGATCTACAGAAATAAATCTTAGAGTTCGGATAATTGGTTGCTCAAAATTTGCTGTGGATGTTATATTAATAGCGATTTAATATTTTCAAAACTTTGAATGTCAATATCTCAGCAACCACCTTGCTAAATTCAATGAATTATTTTTATTTTGATTCTATAGTTCTGTAGAAATAAAATAAAATAACAAATTCATTGAATTTAATGAATGGTTTCTGAAATATTTATTCAAAGTTTTGATAATATTAAAATGATATCAAAATAACAGCCACAGCAAAATATTTATTAATCTTTGAGCAAAATTTCTTGGCAACCATTCATCTAAATTTGATAATTTTATTTTATATTTATTCTACAGAACTGAAGAGTTAAAATAAAAAATTTTATTGAATTTAACCGTCCAAATATGGGGATCCTTAAAGCCCGGCAGATCACGTGACATTACGTTTTTCATTAACATTAGGGTTAGGGCCCACCTTTGGTTAGGGTTATAGAGTTTTTATAGGTAAATTTACCTCCCCAGCATTTTTTGTTAATGCTTCAAGGCGGGTTTAGACTATAGTTTCTTCTATTTTTCGCATATTTCTCGTCGGGTTGATCAAATTTTAACAATTTGATTGGTTAATTATTACGTAATCTGCCCGGCTTTAAATATGGGGAACCGTTAAAGCCAGGTACCATTACAAAATTTAATTAAAAAATCATTAACGTTAAGGTTAGAGTCAGATTAGGGTCTGTATGGGCTAAGGTCAGAAGATTCTTATAGGTAAAATTGTTCCCCCGACATTTTTTCTTAATAAATCAAGATAGGTTTAGACATTCGTTTCTTGTATTTTTTGCATTTTTTCTTTCTTTTCGTCGGGCTTCGTCGGGCTGATCCGTGTAAACAAAAAATTCGCGACTTTGATTGGTCACATGCAATGGAAAATCTCGTGAGGTACCTGGCTTTAACGGATCCCTATTTTTGTAATGAAAAAATTAAAAGTTAATTCCGGCCGGAAATTAGTACCCAATTTTGCAAAATTTGAAGATCCTCGGCCGTTAGCCAATCAAAATCGAGGATCTGCCGGTCCAAATTTGTTGCGGCAGCTATGGTTAATGTCAAGTCAAATTTGATGAGCTTTTTTTTAAAAAAAAAATTTCACGAATCTGTAGAATTGAAATAAAAGAAAACGTTCATTGGATTTGGCTTGGTAGGTGTTGAGATATCAAAGATTTAGACAAAATCAAAAAGAGCTGCGCTAAACTTTTTTAAAACTTTGAGTGAAGATATCTCGACACCCACTAAGCCAAATTCGATAAACTTTTTTTTGTTCGAATTCTACAGATTCGTGGAATTTAAATAAAAAACACTTTATCAAATTTCACTTGGTGAGTGTCGAGATATCTTCACTCAAAGTTTTAAAAAATCTATCAAAAGGAAGAGCTGCGCCAAACTTTTTCTTAAATTTTGGGCTAAGATATCTCGACACTCACTAATCCAAATTTGATGAAGTTTTTTTTTTATTTAAATTAAAAAATGCTTATCAAATTTGGCTTAGTGAGTGTCGAGATATTTTCGCTCAAAGTTTTAAAAAAAGTTTGGCACAGCTCTTCTTTTTGATAGACGGTTGAATTTTTTAAATCTTTGAGTAAAGTTATCTCGACGAAGCCAAATTCGTTAAATTTTTTTTTGATTCTACAGATTCGTAGAATTCAAATAAAAAAAAATTAATTAAAATTAATGTAGTGGTTGTCAAGTTAACATCGCTCAAAGTTTAAAAATTTGATATACATGGGGGTATGAATAACAAATTTAGGGGGTACTGTAAATTATAACTATGTAAGTTTACATTGGGTTTATAGACCTATGTAAAATTTTAAATAAAATATACATGAAATATTTACATAGCTCTACGTAAAAACAACTGTGATGTATCACAATTCATTCACATGATCGGGTTGCTTTTTTGCTTGAACATGCACGTGAAAATTTGGTTTCGAGGACATCCTAATACGAGGAGGCTTTATTTATTTGTGCCGGTAATACAAACTGCTAAAAGGAACAGCCAATTAGTGATTCAAAATTTGATAATTCCTCGGATTATCCCGACATGAATTCCAGACACGTGCAAAAATACTCAAAAACTAGACCTTTTTGCACTAGTAAAAAATGACGGAAGTGAAATTTTACATATAATAAGCCATCACTATAACCTCCAAAGCTAACACCCTAACCCTTCATTTATATCTTTACAGGTTATCGTTATTTACAAATTAGATTTCCTTTTTTGTTGCTCAAATAAATAAATCCGGATAGGGGCAAAAGTGGGAGGTACCGGTACGCACATATAAATAGCAATTCTATATCTGTATATCGGTATGAATATTACATAAATAAAGGGTTGGCGAAGTTGCGCATAAAGCCATTGGGTTAGTATTATATTTCATAAGGATAATGATTAATTTTTGTATTTCATAAATAAAGATACAATTTAGGGTTTTATAAGTTTCATCGATAAAAATGTTTTAAAGTTTACCGATAGCATTGGCTTAAAGTTTCATGGTAACATTGTTTTAAAAGTGTCACATAGCTATGAGTGTAAAGTCGGTCCAGAAAATTATGCACGTGCCAGGGTTGGCAATGGACTATGTCCATTGAAAATAAGTTTGTCAATGGATCTCAATGGACCAATATCGTAATCTATTGGTCCATTAGTCCATTAGCATAAGTCAGAATAAGGTCAACACCAAAAAAAATCTTGAATATCACGTGGTATAATATTCTAAACTATTTATAAAAGCTATATAATTATTTTACACACTTGTCCATTGGAATAGTGACTGTCCAATGGTACCAATGGAACTGATCAATAGACTTGGGGTCCATTCATACCAATGGACAAATGTGCCAACCCTGGTTAATGCCGAGTCTCAAGCTTGGCGCGAACTAAACATGCACTGAGGCTACAGAAAAGTCTGATTAAACAAGTCTTGGCATATAGCAATTTGAAAATTTACCGGTGAAAAGATCAGATTTCGAAAAAAAACAGTTGGCCTAAAAAAGTTGGCCTAAAAAAAAATTGGTTTATTTATTGAATAAACCACCCTTATAATCTTAAATTAATTATACCGTATCTATAACTTAGTTTGCATAATATACATCAGCTGCAAGCGATGTCTTAAAATATACGATTTTCTTATAAGTATACGATTTTTAATTATTTCAGCTAGACTTTGCCAAATCAAAAAATTTTTCAGCGATAAGACAAATCTTAAAATTTTTTTGGTATCAACCAAATTTTGGCAAATTAAAAATTTTCAGAGATATGACAATCTCAAGACATTGCCAGTTAAGATAAACTATTTCATTTACCCCCTAAGATAAACTACTTTGATTTGCCACCTAAGATAAACTATTTCGATTTGCCAACTAAGATACAAAATTTTTTAATTATTTTGCCAGCTAAAATACACGATTTTAATTATCATCCAGATTTGCCAGTTAAGATACACTATTCTTCAATCATTTCATCCAGAATTTCCAAGGTACATGATTTTTAATTGTTTCATTCAGACTTCATGCGATGCGATAATCTTATATGATTCTTAATTATTTTAGCTGCTTCTCTAGATTGTTCAATTTTACGCGAAATTTCTTTTAGTTCCGGACGTTTTTTCGGATTAGTACTCCAGCATTTCTTATAAAGTTTTGCATAAATTGAAGGAGTGCCAGGAACAATTTTTTCTCGTTTGCCCTTTGAAATATGGTTCGCTAAAGCAAGCTTGTTTGCAACTTTCGAAAATGGACGAATTCCACTCGTAAGTTCCCATAATATTACTCCTAGACTATATATGTCTGATTTGGTGTTTGGGGTGAATCGAGGTTGGATAAAAATTTGAGGGTCGGAATATTCGAATGTTAACCCTTCATCAAATAATGACACCAAACTATCATTAAATTTCCATGCTGATCCAAAACCAGAAATTAAGACTTTATTGTCATTTATTAGGATATTTTTAGGATGCTGAAAGTTATAAACTAACAATTAGTTCAAGATTAATCAGAGGTAAAATATTTTAAAATTAATACTTACCAGATTTCTGTGGACAATTTTATTAGCATGCAAATGTTGTATCCCGGAAATAATTTGTTCTGCGATTTGAATAAGTTCTGTCCATGAGATTTCAAAAATACCATCACTCGCTTTGCTTCGTAAATGATCCGCCAAATTTCCACTATTTGCGAACTGTAATACCAGCATGTAGTTTTTTCTTGGAATTTCTGAACCTAATCGTTATTTATAATTTGAATACGAATTAATTTAAGCAAACATAAGCTCAACTAAATTTTTTTATAATATTACTATATCTATTATTATTATCATATGCTAGGAGAATCACCAGAATACCGGTTCTTATTTGCAAGTAATTTACATGTAAATAAGGACTGGTATTCGGTCTAAGTTTGCCCGGATTAGCCGATCAGAAATTTCAAAAGGTGATTTTCCTAGCAAAGATCCCATATTATAAGTAATGTGCGTATTAATAATTCTATATTACATAACGAAGGAATATAATGGTAGATTATAATAAATTCATGTTTTTAAATTATTTTACCGAGTTCATTTTATTTATATATCTTACATTCTGTAATTCCTAAGACTTCAATAATATTTTCATTATTATCAATTGTAATATGTTGTTTTATCTAATATATCATACATATTTTGTCAGCTATGAATAGTTAGTGGGATCGGATACTAATACTGATTCGCATATCACCTCATTTACTAATATTTTATCTTCAGGCCTTGTAAATTTTTTACATGCAATCTTTTCTCCACAGTATTCAGCAGAATAAACAACGCTGTGGCTACCTTTATTACAATAAAAATAATCAGTATTTATAGTTAATTTCTAAAAAAAAAGTTATGCTTACCTCTACCAAGTTCAATGAAATCACTGAATTTAGAATAATCATAATTTTTGATATTCCCTCCTTCCAATTCCTTTTCTAACCACTCGCGATACCTTGATGCTAATATTCCGTAAATATTCACGATATAGGTACTGTGCATTTATAAATAATATTAACTCACAATCTCTCTTTTCTAGAGCTCCAACATTACACTCATCGTGATGCTTTTTAAAAATCTTCTGTATTAGTTCTTGGACCTAATAATTAATGCACCCATATGTTTTTTTTTTAAAAAAATACATAATTACAAATAATTCCTTAAGCTTATTTATAAAAATATTAATATGTTTAATAATATGCTTTTTCAAAACAAACAATTCTTATAACTAATATAAATCTGTCTTTAGGGATGTTAATGGAGTAGGGTACTCCAGAATATCTCTGAAGTATAACCCACTTCATATATAACACCACTCTATATTATTAAGTTATTGTTAATAGGAGTAAGATACAATCATACCTAAGTTATGTCCCCACTGGGTTATATCCCAACCTGAGTTATATCCCCGTTTTTTAGCAGAATAAATTTCCTTTTTTTATATGGTTGTAGTTATATCGGGGGTGATATAACTCAGGTATGACTGCACTTTGAAGTTATACTATTAATATAAATAGTTTTAGCCTGAATTACTTTTTTCTCTTGTTTATCACGTGCTAATAGTGAATTATATTATGAAGTATATATAATTAGTGCTCCAAGTTATAATCACTTAATACTCCAACGTAGCGCTACAGAGTCTACTCTGTGAAAGTATACTTCGATGTGGTGTGGTGTTGAAGGTTAATCTGCCAGAGTATGCGCCACACCACCTTGGAGCACTCTGTTAACATCCCAATCTGTCTTCCACGTACATCAGTTTTGACAGTGTTGACTGTATACATTTTCAAAACAAACCCACCTTTAACAGAATTTTTTGAGGCATTCCATTAATACATAAAATAATATAGAACTTTGCTAAAAAAAGAAAAAAAAAAAAAAGATTAGATTTGATGTCGCTGTATTTATATAGAAGCACATCTTTCCTAGTTATGTAAAAACTTTAAAAGAACTGAATGTTTCACCTACGTAAATAAAAGACTTGTTTTTTTTTTATTTTCTGGTTATTTAGCGATTTGAACGGATTATATTTTTTCGTCGGACTAAAACACAAAAACAAATCCGATTCTTCGAAAAATTACGCCAAATCGAAACTACTAAAATGCAATGATTTGTAACACATTCTATATTAAATATAAAATAATCTCGGAAAAATTATATTAATATTGACTGTACAGTAAGTAATATAAAAGACTTTTTCGTTGAAAATACTCTAATAATACAAATATATTAAAAACCACGTCGCCCACTATAGACTAATATATATAAAAAAAATCAATAAATAAGAAACGGCGTTGATTTTTTTTGCTACCCTTAAAATATATTAATAAAATTCTAAATATACTATCTTGTAATAATTGTTTTCCATTTTTACCATAATTAAAATTCCTGCAATCATAGAGTTGAAATCGTTAAAATTTAGATTAACGTTTATGGAATTTATATCCGGGTATTTCTAAAATAGAATAGTCTATAAAGCTTATTAAATCTATATTGTCAACAATCGACGTAAGTCGATTAGTAAATAACAACCGATTAGTATAATTGTGGCTAGTGTCTCGTCACAATCGAAAACGATGCATGGGTTATTTCAATTATCACATTCAATTCAGCTGTTAATAATTTTAAATGGTATAGTGAACAAAAATAATTCAACAAATAAAAAAAATATATAAACTGTCTAAGCCAAAAATGTAACTGAACTTAATAAAGAAGCCATTGAGCTGAATAATTTAATATGTGACTCGCAGTTGAATTACTATACTCTTAAGAGAAATCATACGATTCTCAAGTAAATAGTAGGACCAAGAAAACCTGTATGTAAAAAAAAATCATCGTACTAGCTTCTGAAATTTTAATATTACGTAATTTGAACATGTTTTAGCACACAAATACAATGCAGTTGCTATAAAACTGCTTAATTACGTAATTCATATCATAAACAAGTTTTTCCTTTGCAACACTCTCATAATTCTTTTAATATGTGCATAATTTTATACTATGGGATGTCCATAATTACGTTAACCAGTATTGTTATAGAGATCTTAATACAAAGACAATACCATATGGCATTACCTTCAGAGTTCCTATATTTTACAGTACTGGTTTAACGTAAACTATGGATGCCCCTAGACACTGGAATGTCCTTATCGCTTAATCTGCTAAACCAAAAAACTATTGTAGTTTATAAAAAAAAAAAACGTCAAATACTATTAAAATTAGTTTACTACAAAAAAAAAAAAAAATAGTGATTGCCATTAGAGAAGTGTTGTCAATTAGACTTAGCAATTGGACCCATAGTCCAATTATAATTGGACCCATAGTCCAATTATAATTGGACCCATAGTCCAATTAGAATTGGACATATAACCAAATAAAATGCGTCTACTTAGTCCCGTTGACAACATTGCTTTGGGGTTTTACCAAATACGAAAATTCGAATTACAAATTTACATTAGATTTTCTAATTTTTCAAAAAAAAAATTTTTTTAAGGTTCTAATTGTCTGCTATTTATTTATTTATTTATATTCCATAACTCAGACCTTAATCTCCCGGAGTTATCTGATAGGACCGATATGTGGAAATTAACTTTGCTTGGCTTTAGAGATGGCAAAAAAAAAAGCTTTTTTCACAATTTTAAAGATGTGATTATGACCCAAATATGTTAGACTCCTATCCCGTAAATTATCACATAGTGATATAAATTTTATAGTAATTATCCGGTGGGTGTCACCCGAGTAGTGATGTGCCATTTATATGATACCTGGAAAATTTTAGCGTACAGTACGTACAGTACGTACTGTTCGTATAGTTCATTTCTGGTATCTGATTGGCTGGAACAAGTGATCGGCAAAAATTTTAGCGTACAGTACGTACAGTACGTACAGTACAGTACGTATAGTACTGTACGCGGCACATCACTACACCCGAGTCACCTGCGGTTAGGTGACCCGGGTTGTGAAACAGGTGGGTCAACCCGCAGGTTGACCTACAGGTGACCGTGTGTTGACCTACGGGTGACCTGTGTGTTGACCCACGGGTTGACTTATAGTTTTGCTTCCAAAGACAAATCAGCCGGAATTGTTATTTTTGTTCGAGTCTGGGACACCAAACAAAAATTAGCCGAATGATTTTTTTGCCGATTCGATTAAGTTTGTGATTTCCAATGAATTGATAAATCGATATAAATATAACTTAAATATTATAGACTTGAATACAGAAATATGATACTTACAAACGCTGGATCAGTCCGAAAAATTACTACATACTAAGTGAAAATTTAATAATGTTGAGCGTGCCGATATTGTAATGATAAAACTATCTGCGCAAAATAGCTTTTATACCGAAATCAAACTAATCGAAATAGTGCCAAAATTATGATAATAGAGAAACTGAACAATGTATTATTCTCGAGACATTAACCACCAGGGTCTGTTTTTTAATTACAGTTGTTTTCATAATTTCTGAAACACCTGATAAAAATTGGCCGAATGACTTTTCAGCCGATTAGATTAAGTTTGTAATTTCGGCATGCCCTACAAAAAAAAATCTTATAGAAAACATATAGTAAATATATAGTAAACATATAGAAATGTAAAAGTATACGGGAAATATATAGAAACATATACAAGAAACATATAAAACCATATAGAAAACATGTCAAATGTTGCAAAAGCCCATTTCTTAGGTGTTGCAGGCTTTGTTTACTGTATACTTCTGTATACTTAATGTGTATTTTCTATACAAATTACATTTTTCTGTATGTCTTCAAGCTGGCCTTTTTTATAAGGCAGAGTTCCATCTAGGATTGTAGTTCATACAAATACCAGCCAGGTTTTTTTTATTAGAGGTTTAAAATATTTTGTATCATTAATGTTCAGAGACGTGGTTAGAAAGTGACGGAAGCTTTTCAATACATCCATATCTTTGAAAGTGCTTGAGAACCCGACTTAAAGATATGCTAACACCAAGTGTTTGACAATTTTCGAAATGATAGGCCTCCTAAATTTTTTTTTCACCTATTTTCCAGCAAAGATGCTTTGAAAGTATCACTTCTGTATTCTACCAGATATACAGATATTTATATTAGCTACCTCGGTTTATGATCACATGACTAAAATCATGCGAAATTCAAGCTACCCCCTTCCTGATTGGATGAAATCGATGATCTTCAATAATATAATATACTATAACTTAGGTATGTTTTTGAGCGACGTTATCTTGGTAACTATCCATCTAAAATCGAGTAACTTTATTTATTTAAACTATATTAATTCATAGAACTAAATTAAAAAAATTCCATCGAATCTTAGACAGATATTTATCGAGTTATCCTTGTTCAAAGTTTGTAAAAACTTAACCGCGGTCTTGTTTTAATAGTCATCCAAATTTTCTTAAGCTTTGAACAAGGATAACTCGATAACTATATATCAAAAATCGATATTTATTTTAATACTATGGATTCATATAATTGAAATAAAAAAACATTTCATCGGTTTTTAATAGGTAAATATCGAGTTATTTTCGTTCAAAATCGAAGGAAAATTTGGATGATTATCAAAACAAAGACTGCGACTAACTTCGGACAAGGATAACTCTAAAAGTATCTATCTGAAACCAACGAATTTTTTTTATTTCAATTTTATGAATCCTTAAAATTAAAAAATTTTTATCGATTTTTAATATATAGTTATTGAGTCATCCTCGTTCAAAGTTCTATGAAAGTTTAGACGACTATCAAAACAAAGACCGCGGCTAAGTTTTTGCAAATTTTGAACAAGGATAACTCGATAAATATCTGTCTAAAATCGATGAACTTTTTTTATTTTAATTCTATGGATTCATATAATTTAAATAAAAAAACTTCATCGATTTTAAATAGGTAGTTACTAGGTTATCTTCGCTCAAAAACATATTACTAGGAATCGAAATTCGATATAAAGTAAATGATCATCATGTGAGTGGACAGACGGTTACTTTAAATTTAATGCATCAAAAACATAACTTTTATATCACCAACGGAAAATTATATTATTGAGGATCATCGATTTCATCCAATCAGTTCGCATGATCTTCGCCACGTGAGCACAGATTCTATTTTCGCCGGGAAGTCTACGGACACGTACAGGTCACGTGATTTTTGCACGTACCGACGATCACGTGATATAACGTACGTCAAACTATCGAAGTAGAATTTTCTTAATTTTGGACAAATTTTCTCAACAACTATCCAATAGAAT